TGTGTGTCTTTCAACAGCAGCTGTGGGTAGAGCAGGCCTTGCGTCCATTTCCTCCCTCTCTTTCCCCCTCCTTTTACAGACACTTGGCTGCTTTAGGAGCCATGACACATTGGCCATCTAAAAAGCATTCCTCCACGCATCCAGAAGTCATCCCTGCCAAGTTCAGCAGCAGCAGCAGCTCAACTCACAACAGTTCATTATTCTTTGGGAGGCAGCTGAAGGAACAGCGTGTTTTTTCACTCCTACACTGCAGAATGTCCCGGCTAATTTTCTTATTAGCATATCCATCAGTTTAATTGATAGGTAAAAGAGCTTTTAATAAGTAACTTTGAGGATCAAGAGAAATAAATGTAGTCTTTACATTTCCCCATTACAAATATCACATTATCAGCAGCATAATTTCAGTTAAAAGTTTAACTTTCAATGGAATAAGATAATAAAAAATATCACATAATAAATGCCACAAGCTTACTTATTTGATTAGTGACCTAGAAATCTGAAATATTTAAGTATACACCGATATTCAGTGTGGACTTTTGGACCCCACTTTAAGTCTTTGCTAGTATATGATTATCAGACATTTGGTTTTCCAATATTCAAGAGCTTAATGTTAACATATAAGATGACAAGTCTATGTAAATAGTTTCATCTATAAACAGTATTCCTTGGTGAAGTGCTACTCCGTAAAACCTGTTTTATGGATAGGCTCATTATTTCTGCTATTTGGCAATGAATCTTGCAGGAAAGAAGAAAATATGTATAGATGGAATTTATTATGCAGTGAACATTTCAAATAACTGAGAATAAACCTATTTGGAGCCATAAAAAAACCCTTTAATATGATTTACCTTTAAAATTAGCTTTTAGATAAGAAGGTACTTATATACTAAAGTGTTTATTTTAGGTTGATAAACTGATATAATCAAAGATTTTTAGTTGCCCTGCTACTGAACATAACAGGTGGCACTAAAGCTAGTTTTTCACACGTATCCTGACTGGCTTTGGGGCAATTATTCACTATTAACTTAAAAGCAGAAGACCCGATATTTCTCGCTCTAAAGAGTGTTGACAGTCTCATTATACAGGTGTTAACATTCAGCTGGCAGGGTACAGTGATTCAGGATATGACAGAACTATCTAGGACGGTATATATTCATGTTCCAACACAGAACTAGGCCTAATGTTTCAAGAGGAAGTGACTGCTTCAGCCTTTGAAAGGAAGTTTACTCTTTTTCACCCATCCAATAGGTTCATTCATGATGAAAAATTAAAAACAGTACAACTGATTAGGAAAACAAAGTTCAGTCTTTTCAAGTGCTCAGTACTCTGAATGTTAAATTGAGGCTTTTGCTAGGCTACATTTTGTTCCTCAGAGCGAAACCATTACATTACAGTAGCTAAATGTTACAGTGTTAGTTAGTGTGTAGTACTATGCAATGCTAACAAAAAGTACTTTGTATTTGTGTTTATGTATGGGCAATAAAACATTTATAAACACATAAAAGTAGGGATGGCCCGATACCGATACTGGCATCGGGGATCGGGCCGATACTGTCCTCATATACTCGTACTCATAAAAATTCGCCGATACCACGCACCGATACCACGTACATTTTGCAAAACGAAACTGGCCGCCACGAGAGCTTTGTCGAGGTGAACTGAGGCATAGGAAAGTAGCCTATAATGTCGGCGGTTAGGGCTCATTTCAAGATAAGGGATAATGACAACAGCAAGGCAGACTGTGAGTTATGTTCAGCTAAGGTGTCGAGAGGAGGGAAAGAAAGTACATCGTTTAACACCAGCAATCTAATTAAACATCTGAAGACGCATCATAGATCTGATGGCCGAGCGCGCGCGCGGGCGGTAATGCACTCACTCTGTGTGTGCGGGTTACGGGAGAATAAAACGATTCGCGGGACTCCCGCAAACTACAAATATCTATGAATAAAACATAAAAACTAATAGATTTTTATTCATCTCTTGCAGAAAAGCAACAAGAACAACTACAACAAAATAGAAACGATTTACAGGCCAGAGTTTCTATTCATAACATGGTTACAGCGTTGAGCGATGTAGCCAATCACAGACATATGTGTTGATTTCTTGAACGCAATGGCCAATCAGAAGCATTTAAGATAGACTCCCCTCACTGCTCAAAACGGACTTTTTTGTTCAGTGCTGAATTCTGTATGCTGGCAAATCCTCTAATTATAACAAACAAAGTGTGGATATTATGAAAGATTGATTGTGCAGTCAGCTTCATTGATAATAACAGAGATGTGTGAGATCGCGATGAACTGTCAGCTTTTAGGATTTATTAAGGGTGCGCACTTTGCGTGCATTCAGTCATGCCCATGCACGCAGTAGCCTGCTTGCTTTTATGTTAAATTAACAGTGGTTTGTGTGTTAATACATTTATTATTTAAAAATTTTTTTTTTTTTTTTTAGACTTGTTAAAACAAGCAGAGAAGAAAATAAAAACAGTCTTCTGACCTGTGTTCTAAAATAGTCGTCTTCTTTTCTGGGAGCCTATTACTTTTGCGGTAGAAATATCCGTATCGGTACTCGGTATCGGCAAGTACACAAATGTAAATACTCGTACTCGTCTCGGTTTGAAAAAAAATGGTATCGGGCCATCCCTACATAAAAGTTCCTACAATATAATCATAGTAAATAAATAGTCCTTCAAACAAGCTTTTTGAAGCGTTCCGAAATTGTTTAAATTAACTAAAATATTCAGCTGAATTGAAAAAAAAATAATTGTTAGCCTTGTTGCCAAAGAACTTTACTTAAACTGGTTGAATTTATGACCTGAGAAGTGAAAACACGACACACAGGTCACATTTTATTCTATGATATAAGAGAGGCACTCCACCAAAGACATTGTACAAAGAGATTGTAAGCTAGGCATTGAGAAAGGTCACATGTGACCGAAACGTTTGCCACTTTTTCAGTAAAAGTATTTGATTTTATCTCGCTTTTTGACATCTCTTGTCTTTGGAGTGTGCGGACTCTCTTGAATTGAATTCTTTGTCTCCGCACCTCATATGGACTAATTTTAAGGCGCGGTGAGTCCCTAGCTACTCTTCTATTCTATGATATAAAACACACCAGTAATACCCTCTTGTGATTTTTTTTTAAAGCTTTTACTTGTCTTGTAAAAGGCAGTTGCTAACAAGCGTCTAAATGGACTACAGAGGTTGTCGGGGACATTAAATGTCATCGGTTAACCTACTTACTAGTCTGCTTTCACAGCCTCATTGTGTTTATAGTCCTGCTCTTGCAAGCTATTATATCTAACTTTTTGTGGAAAATGCTTTTAAACAAAGACTCAAAGAGTTGATGGAAAATTAGTAATGGTGACATTGAAGTCATGAGACCATGGTGTAGTTCGTTTATAGCCGACGTTTAGCTTTTGACCTTTGACGATTGTATTTACGCTTCAGAATTCATAAGTTGTGTTCATTTCTGAAGATTATCATGATAAACAAAACATAAGAATCATAAGCTATTGTTAATCAAAGAACTTGTTTTCTGCTGTAATCCAAAAGCCAAAGGAAAATACTATTGTGTTTTTTGTCGAGGGAACCAGGGTTATGCTAAAATATTTCATCCCTACACCACTCTATTGTGCAGTTTCTTTCAGCATGCCTGGTTTTACGTTGGGCAACTGTCTTAAAGGCCCACTGAAGTGCCTTGGAATGCGCTGCTTTGTATGATGTGTTGACTTCCACTGAAACAGGAAGCTAAGGCGGGACAGAGGCCTATTGAATGGCTCCTCCCCATTTTCAAATAGCCAACAGCGTTTAGTGTACCTCACAGACTGCAAGTCGCACTTGACAGCACCATGGAAGCGAATCCGTGCGCTGATGATACGTTGGATTCAATAGTAGAGGAGTGAATAAATTCTAGCCATTTCATTCTTAACCAACGCACAGTTGGAAAACGGAATAAAACTCGAGGGTTTGAGCAACCGAACACATATCTCCAACCCAAATTGCACTGTGACATGTTAACAGTCGCTTTGGCCAGGTAGTATTTATATCATAGGGGGCGGGACTTTAGATTCTAGAAAGCATTTGATTGGATAGAAGATGTGATGAGAAGCTGAAGTCCACGGTGATGTCATAAAAATCTGTGATCCATTTTAGGGCAAGTGAGAGACTAAGTTTTGAATTCTTATACCTCCTAAATGTGAATTTTGTCATTGTTTTGCAACACACCAGCTTATTCATAACCTTAAGGCTAACATATTCATCCTAAATGCTAAAAAAACAAAAGTTTGATTTCAGGGGGCCTTTAAAGTTGGCTGGAAATAAATTCATCTATTATCTAAATGCATCTTGATAATCTGATGTGAATAATTCATCCATGCATGTTTTTTTTATATTTATGTTTTGACCTCATCATTTTTAATCAAAATGTCATAATTCGATCTTCGGGTGAAAGGACAGATTTCTCAAATCTGCGTATTAATCATCTGCAGTGATAGTCATCCAATCAATATTTAATGAATAGAGCCAAGTCTCGTCCTATACATTCTTTCTCTCTTTTAATAATTTGTTGCCACTTCTTTTTCAACCAGACAGTTGACAGTAGCCATTGATTTCCATAGTATTTTTTTTCTCCATATTACAATTGCTACCGTCAACTGTTTGGTTACCAACATTCCTCAAAATATCTTCTTTTGTGTTCAGCAGAAGAAAGAAATTCATACATGTTTAGAACAACTTAAGGGTGTGTAAATGACAACATTTTCATTTTTGGGTGAACTATCCCTTTAAAGAACCATCTATTTAATTATTACATGTTAGCAAAGTTCATTAAGGGTAATATGCCAATTCCATAAGGGGTCATCATGCATTTAACAGGGCTAAACCAGTTCAGGACCTGAGTTACCAGGTTAATCCATAGTTTATCTAATGTCTAAAATGGACTGGGCTCAGTCGGAGTCTACCTAAGTTACGTCCCTACAGAAAAGTTCGGAGCGAAGCACTCACCCTGATGTCATTGCGTCGTACTTCCACGTCGCGCACCGCATGGCCATGGTTTGGCGCACATCTGGAGAAGCAGCAGTACTGGCAGACCGCCACCTGTTCCACATCGCAGTGATAGAGTCTGTATTCGTCATGGTGCGGGCAGCTCCAGGCCCGGACCTCCTCAGTCGCCACCAGTAGATGTCCAGGAGCAGGACAGGGCTGCTGGAGATGCGTCTGGATGTGAGACTGGCAACACGGTGCATTACAACGAAGACACACTTTCTGCGCTTGAAGAGGAGGCCCTCGCCTGCACAGAATGCAATGCAGAACGGCCGGCGCTTTTTCGACGTTCAGCGCGTTGAATTTTTCCACAATATTATTGAGTTTGATGTTTTTCTCCAGGTTTGGTTTTTGGTTGTACGCGTGGTTGCACTCCGGGCAGCGCACATTGGCCGTGTCTTTGGCCCAGGCCTCGCTGATGCAGTCCCGGCAGAAGTTGTGTTTGCACGGCAGCTGTACGGGCTCCACGAACACATGCAAACAAATTGGGCAAATGAGTTCCTCCTCAAAGCAGTTCCGCCAGCTCTCGGCCATCTCAGCCATTTGATCAGACATCCCGTCTTGACTTGATCCGCTCGTGGAAGGCAAACATCAAGTTCTAGCACCGTCCTAACAACGTTTCGCTCATTCTCGTGACTCCTTCATTTATATCCAGATGTTAGGTCAGTTTATGAAGAGCACAGAAGCCCCAGAGAAACAGCTGTTGATCAGACCCAAATATGCCAAGGGAGCGTTTCTGCTCCTGGCAAAGTTAGTCAGCAATCAAATACCACAGCCGGGCGTGAATAAATGACGTTTTTGGAATGAGAGAAACTTGCCCTTCTTTATCGACAAATGTTTATTTGATTAAACAAACTAAAAACACAAACTATAACTCTGGTATTAATTTAGAAAGCGCGAAAAATGACTTAATTCAAAATGACCCTAATAGGAAAAATGAATGACTGGTGCTATGTTTAAGAACTTTATAAGCGATTACTTCTTTTTTGACTGACGAATAACTAAGTGAAACAAATAAAGCATAATATGCACTATGAATAGTTTATTACCACAAAAGTAATTATTTAATCTATGCAAAGTTGGTTTGTGGTCCAAATACTGGCACATTTATTTTCATCTTTAGAGCTTTCTCTGATTTTTGAAGCTACACGAATGAATGACATTTAAAAATAAAATCCGACTCTATCTTCAGATACCCCGTAGATGGTATAATTTATCGTTAAAAACGATAACGATGAACGAGCAGAAGTGTAAAAAAAAAGTATCGGACAAACCAATTAGCAGTCTCTCTTTAATTATGGCAAACGAATGAAACACCAAACGGAGGCTCACTGACAGATGCCTGACTATACGTTGAAAGATAATAAACTACTAGGTTAAAGGCTTCAACCTCGTCTAAAGTCCTATGCCATTCAACATAAGATCCGTTAAATCCAAGTGAAAATGTCTAATCATCGGAAGCATATAGTCTTTTGCTAGGTTTAAAACAGGAAAAGGGTGACGCCACAAGTTCTTGAAGCACTGAAAACGTCCTTTCGTACGCATTTACTGAAGCAGTCGATCACGCATTTGATTTGTGCTCAGGGCACATGACATTTGCCCTGCTGGAATTATATTTAAAAAAGTAGACCTGAGCCTTTGTGCTGCTCGTGTAGTACTATATCGATAGGATTTCTGTCCTCTACAACTATATGGTAAAGCCAGAAACACCATCTATCTAATGCCGTGACGCGATTTTGAATGAACAAACAATTGACGCGTATACTTGCATGCCAACATGCTCTCGTAGCATTAAACCCCAAAGAGCAGCGATTTTATCTTTGTCAAATATATTCTCTCGCTATCTGTGTTGGTTGAACATTATAGAATGATCCATAACGCGATCCCTGTCCATGTTTCGCCTTATGTTTACCTGCTCGCACTTACTAGAGACGGATTGCGTTCATTTATAGTGCCTAATGTCATGTATTTTATTTTGACGAAGCTAACTCGCCTAAAATATTCATGTATCAAAGCCTACTACATCAATACCTTTGTTGCTCTTAAAGGAGACGATATCGTTTGGCCCTTGTTATCGCTTATCAGCCATCTTGTTTTCCTGTTTAACGCGAATTAAAAACGACGTATCTATTTACTTTTCCTCTCATTTGTATGCCCTTTATATAGCCGCTTCACGTAAAGCGAAAAGATCCAGTTCAGCGATCATCCAGGGATATCACGTCCTTTAAAATGTTAATCCTGGTGGAAATCAGATGCTTTACCGCCGTATTCCAATCTGCGTCTGTTATTATTTATGATTTTTTTCCCTTTCAAGCAAATCCTAGATGAGAGGAATGCAGGCATAGGACTGCAACTCAGGATACAGTTCACATACTCCCCCTTCCCCCGATCACGTGACCAGCGCGGACTTGACACATAAAAATGGGAGGGGTTAATATACGGAGGCGGGGCTTGATTTAAAGGGGCATTCCTCTATTTTATTTATTTTTTTGTTCGTTTTTTTGTGATCTGTCCAAAATTCTGTTTCTCTTCAGTAAATGAATCACTTATTTAAATTTTTTAAGCATGGCTTAAGAAGTGTTCCAGTCTCTCTTTTTTTACCCTTAAAAAACACCTTAATGTTAGTTAATGTTAACCACAGACCTTATGTGGTATCTGTTAGGAATTATTAAGCAGCAATAAACCACACGAGGCAGGAGTAACGAACTTCATCCATCTTATTTACTCTTTCACTTCTGTCCTCGCAAACATTACATCATTACACAACACTTTTAAATAGTAGTCACAACATAATTCACATTTACTCGAACAATGACAATAAAATAAACTTTTAAACTGGAACCCATGGCTTGAACGTGTTAATTCTGTGTTATAGGACTGAACAGCTCTGTTTGAATCTACCATCCAGTTAGGACTCTTCGGTCATCCAACCAGAGATTGCAGAGTATCCTGAAGTCAAAGATGAAATGTAGGGGTGACCTCGCCTTTTTGGTTGCTGCCCCTAGACTCTGGAATGCCCTACGCATTTCTATTAGATCCGGTTCATCTTTGTCTATTTTTAAATCCAAGCTAAAAACATATCTCTTTGATTTGGCATATAATCAGTGATGCAATTTCATTGCACTATTTTATTGATGATATTGTTCTGTTAAGCCTGTTATGTAATGTTTTCATTTTTCTTCTTGTTGTGCAGCACATTGGTCAACATTGGTTGTGTTCAATGGTGCTATACAAATAAAATTGACATCTCAACAGCCCACCAGTGTGCTGTTATTATTTCACATGCAAAGAGGGCATTTACATGCGTGTCTTGAAGGGACAGCATCAAAATACAGGGCATACAATTATAAAGGTCAGAGACAGGCTTGGTTCTCCATTAGGAATTTTGGTGTCTTGTTCACAAAATGTTTTTTACTTAGATGTGAGTTGTCATCATAAAATAGTATATAATTAAATGGGAAATAGGCATTCTTTGCACAAACAGTCAGACTTGTGTAATCAAAATGAACGCAAACACCCTGCTTTTTGTAAGTTTAATGCACTTAAGTGTAACAAAACCACAGGCAGTGTAGTGATTCTCCAGAATATAAAAAACACCAGTACACTCTAATTAAATTCCTCTTTTAAAAAGCACAAATAAAGGTTCTTTTTTACACCTTTGACCTATATTATTGAGCACATTTCCCAAAAATTACAAATCACAAAAGCACATTCTAGAAAATTGATTGCCATTCAGGAACCAGTTTGTTTGCTTCCCTATAAAGACTTGGAATGCAATCATAAAGTCAAAGGAAAAGGAAAATAGTTAAAAATAATAATAAAATAAAACCAAGATCACGGAACTAATTGATGATTCTCAACTTTACATTAGACAGTTTAAAAACACCCATACTGTACAGGCTTTGGTATTGTGTAGGTGAACTGACTAACCACTTATGACTACAACTTAATGAAGACCTTAAGATCATCAACCTTAAATAGACACTACTGTATCTTATATATGTAAATTGAGTAAAACCAGATACTCAGACTTTAACAGAATTTTTTAGATAAACATGGTAAAAAAAGGCCTTTTCCTAAGTATGCTTTCCTTCACATTACAAGCAGGATTTAGAAGAGCGGATTTTCTCAAAATGACACTTCAGTCCATTCCAAGGTGAATAAAGGCACCAGCAGTGCTTGCACATTGTCTTGTGCTGCAAAATATTCAACAAGAAATATAACGTGTCTTTTGAAACAAACCAGAAAAACAATCGCTATTTTTTTAAGCTTCCTTATGAGTAAATAGGTAGACCAATACAAAGAACAAGTGGTATAACGGACAAAATGTACAAAATGTTGTACATTTACAATGCTCTCTGGGAAAGGGGAAAGCTTCTGAAAGTTTGTTTCCTTCAGCCGTCTATAGGCACATGCGTCTGGCAAAAGAGTTGGTCTCCTTTCTGTAGATGTGGGTTTGTAATCAGGGACAGTGAGCTCCCAGTCTTATTGCAGTGGGCTGTCAAACACAGTGTCAGGCAGGACAGAGATCTTTAGCTTCTTATCGGGCCAGCTGTACTCCTTCGGCAGCTTAGACTGGGTAAGGGGTAAAGAGATACATAGCGTGTTAAAATAATCTAAAGTTTACAAAATCACAGTGAAATCACTTAAGGTGAGGTGTAGGTAGAACCTTACCATTTCACGGGTGCACAAATCCTGAATGTCAGCTAGCATCTGATCTGCAAACTCCTCAGTAAGTAATATCTAAATTAAGGAGATCAGAACAGAGGTCACACATAAGGAACAACATTGAATTTTAAAGGGAACCTATTATGCCCTTGATTTTGTTTGTGGGATTTATTAGAATAGGTTTGGAACACATTTTTCACATATTTTACATTATTGCAGCAACTCTCTTCCCAGTCTGTCAGTAAAGCTCTGTTTAATTCTGCCACTATGAAGCCCCTTCTTCCAAAGAGCGCAGTGTGCTCTGATTGGTCGGCTGGACCAGTGCGTTGTGATTGGTCAACCACTTCGAGCACATTTTGGAAATGTCACTCCCCTTACCATAAACACGAGTTTCAACACACTACTAACACAACTCAACCAGGCCCTGCCTCTTTTCTTTGCGAATACCTTGGGCGGGAATTATTTAAATAAGGGATATTGTGACATGTACGTTCCCAGAAGAAAACTCAAGACTACAATCAAGGCATTTCAGAATCAGTTCTTGGTGATATAGAGAATAACTCCCTTTGGAGTGGACTTTGTGCTTTGTAACTTTACAGAACTTTTCTCATTCTCAAACCGCAACATTGCACACTAAAGAATGTTGAAAATGTTAAAAAGCATAACAGGGCCCCTTTAAGGGATTTAATAGTAATGTGTGTCTGTTACCTGTAGCCATGGTCCATGTGCAGCATACGGATGCTCTTCTGTGGCAAAAGCCCCTTCCACCCCAGTGGATACAAAGGTGATTGCTGTATCTCCATTAATGCTTTTATATGTGAAATGTCGGCCATGAAGTAGCCGACCTCTACAAGAAAAGGTTATAAAGAAAAAAGCTGAATGAATCATTTACATAGACATTGATAAGCATTGTATCTCTTAAAGCAAGCGCGAAATATCAAAGGCTAAAACTATAAACAACCTGATGTTCATTTTCTCCCTGCTCTCATTTGGACTTTAAACAAAGGCTTCTCTGTGAGCCTCGTCTCTGTTTCTGTCCAAACAAGGAGATTACATAAATCTCATATCCCACTCTTTTAGAGCCAGCAAAAAAAAGAGCGGTAACTTTTCAGAGCTTTTGTAAAACTGTAATATATTGGTAAAATGAACAAAGTGCACATCGGCACACCAGTACATGTGTACTTTTATTTTTCACTTCTGAGTGGATTCACAACCCCTGGCCCCTCTTAAAGTTAAGGCCTCAGCAAAGCGGATTTTGAGAAAATATATGGCAAATGGAGCTTCCTACAGTGTATGTCCTACCTGAGGCACAGTGGGAGAAGTGTCCCAGACTCCTGGTTGAACTTCAGGTGCACACTTTCCAGCTGTCGTGTTCGCACCAGCTCGTGAGGGACAATAGCAGCCGAACTCTCGCTCTCCAGACTGTCCTTACGACTCCTGGGATATAGAGGATGGGAAAATGTAAACAAAGAAAAAAACTGAATGAAGCCGTTTAACA